TTCTTTAGCTGTGGGATGCATGTGGTCGGTCAGACCAAGCCAGGACAGAGACATAGACATGAGACACAGGAACCCAGAGCTCAGTGCTTGTGTGTGTCTGTGCCTGAGGAGCTGCACTGGGCCCGACGCCAGCTCACCCCACCCCACATCCAGCCTGCAGAGAACTGCTGCAGCTCCAGAGGGCAATGCAGAGGAGGAGAGAGCAAGGGTACTCCAAGCACAAGGCACTCCAATATCATGTTTTGAACTCTCAAGGGAAACCAAATGTGCCTGATGTGCGTATATATAAAGGAAAGCGGGGGGTAGGTGGATTGAAAGCAGGAGATAGACATCTTGTTGATGATGTAAACTGCCCGTTCACATCCTTTTGTTGTCATGTTTGTTCAGTGTGCGATGGATGACTCTGGGCTTTTTGTTACAATACACAAACACACTAAAAGCCCCACAGACTATCCTTATTACATCTTAATCAAATCACTTTGTTGTCACCTTGCTGCAGGAAGTTTTTGATAAGTTTGAATTAAGGACAAAGTGTCCAGTTCTGCACTGCAGGATATTCAGAGTCGTCCAACATGACTGAATATTTGTCACATTCAACAAACAGTGCTCAAAATGTGGCCTGAAATCCTATATTAGGGCATTTTTTAACAATTGGACAAACTATAAAAAAAAAAGATTTTTCAAATTTGTAAAGTTATAAAGATTACTGGAGTATGTTTTACAAGGAAATACTATTTTATTCCTAAATTAAACTCAACGTTAAATGCTGTTTGGCACTCATAGTGAGTGAAAACTATTTGTACACCAAATGTTTTTCAGTGCTGTGAAAAAAATCGTCAACCCTGTTGCCAAAGTGTCTAAATACATCTTAAACGCTTATGTAATTTCATAATTATAGAAGTAACATCAAAATGATTATTTTTCCGTACCATAGCTTGTGTTACAAGGTTAAATATTTGATCTTGACAAATGCAGGCCACACTACAACATTCTAAAAAAAACAAAACCCAAGAAATAAAAGTACTTGTCTTCCTGTCATACTGTAAAAAGTATTTCACGAGTTCGCACTTACATATAATCGGATTGAGCAAATAGTAAGCATATTTTGCATGCTGTCCTGAGGGAGGGCCCCGAGCTCGGAATATAGCCCAAACCCAGAGAACTCCCCCATCCCTAATCTGGGATGAGAATAGTTAAGAGTGAGGAGTTGGGGTGGAGGGACAAAGGTAAGTTGGCTGTATATATATATAAATATATATACGTATTGTGCTAGTTAAGATGATTAACTAGACAAGCTCCACCTGTGCTGAATTGGTTGATTATCTGATCGTGCTCCTCCCGAACCTTGTTAAAGGCACAATATGTAATTTTCGCTGCTAGAGGGCGCGTATTCAAAATAAACAAGGAGACAAAGGCGTAGTTTGATGACGCCGTGACTGAGTGTGGAATCATGGGAGTTGTGGTCTTCATCCCCACAGCCGAAGCAATCCGACGGGACTCGGGCAGAAATCATGTTCATGGATGAGCTAATGATTTATTAAAGTAGTAGAATGAAGCAGAGTGAGGCTGAAAGCCGTCAAAGCGAAACGAGGCCGCT